AATTTAATCTTAAAACGCCTTTTATTTAACATGTTTTCAGTGAACGCCAAAAATATTTAGTTTATATCAAACTCTTTAAAGAATAAAGTTTTTGTTTTAATTAAATTGAGAATAATTTTTATTATTTTTCATTCACTCCTTAGCCTACATATAAATGTGACAATTGTGTCATATATTGTAATAGTTGTCAACATTTTTTGTATTTGTATATCCATTGAAACTGATTTGCAAACAATTTTAATTGAGTTATAATTTATGCAACCGACCGACCATTTCTGCTGTCTGTCCCACCCATTCATTAAATGCAGTTTTTATAAATCGATATTTAACTACTGTTACCCTTTTCTCTATTGATTTGTAATTTATTTATTCAGAGTTGGAAAATGATTAAATACTTTAATTATGAATAAATTGTTTTCCTCATAGAATCGGAGGGAACGGCAATATTGGATATCCTATCCAACCGTTACAACAAAATGAAAGGCAAAGTGAAGGCAGAATTTATCCTAAACGGAGTGACTGTGAACACCAAACGTCTCTCACAAATGCTGTCATATGTGAGTCAAGACACTGCTCTGTGTCCCGACATGTCTACCCGTCAGGCATTGCTTTTCACATCTTTAGTTCAAAGACCGGCAAAAAAGAGTTCGTTTGACACTAAAAAGCGAACCAACGCTTTGCTCGAGGAGTTAGGGCTGAGCGAAGTCCGTCACACCTGTATTAGCGATCTGACAGACGCTGAGAAAAAGCGTTTACTCATTGCTATTAACCTATTGTTAGACACAGATATACTACTCCTGGATCAGCCCACCAAAGGAATGGACATCTTTGACACATTCTTCTTAGTTGAATATCTTAGACAATGGGCGCTCATTAGCGGCAGATGTGTTATAATGACAATCAGTCCATCGACTTATGAGATCTTTACAATGCTCTCCAGAATTGCATTGATTTCTTCGGGAAGAGTAGTATATTTTGGAAAAAGGGGTGAATTGTTGACATATTTCGCACAAATAGACTTTCCGTGTCCGGCATTCAAGAATCCCAGTGACTATTATCTAGATTTAGTCACTCTCGACAATCTTAGCTCAGAAGCAATGCTAGAATCGAGTCAAAGGATTGAAAGCTTAGTTGAATTGTATGCAAGAAGAAACAATAGCGCCATTTCAGCACCCGGTCCCCCATCCATAACACCACCACCCGTTCAGAGAGCAAATATTTTCATTCAATTTCTCGCTCTTTGGATGTAAGTCTATAGGAAATAAATATGTAATTAAACACACATTAAAATTAATGATTATTGCATTGATTAGACGAGCGATGATTTTCACGTTTCCCTATAATGTGATACATATGTTCTTCAAACTGTTGATTGCATTATGTTTATCAGTGATGTGTGGAGTGATATACTGGCACGTGAGGAGTGGAAGGGAACAGGAATATATTTGGGACAGAATCGGCTTTTATCACGCAATCCTCACTATATTCACAATACCTTTGCTATTAATTGAAATCAAAGACGGTATTAAAGACTCAATGATTTATATTTGTTTAATTAATGACATTTCTCTGTAATTATAGTTCACAAAGAAAAACAATATGTTTTAAACGAAGTGAAACTTCAATTTTACGGCAAAACCTCGTATCTGATTTCAAAACTCATATATTCTTTACCTCAAGCGCTGATAGTTTTTATGGCTTTCTCACTGCCGGCCTGTTCTATGGCTGGACTTCAACAAAATCTATCAATTTATTTGCTGCTTATGATCGCCTATTTGCTGACACTAAGAATGATTGCAATGGCAGTCGTTTGGACATTCAATAGACGGTCGACCAGTGCTGTTGTGTTGGCGTTAATATTGTCGCTCATATTCTTGAGTTCCGGCACAACATTTCACTACAAAGACCTATCAATCGGCACGCGTTGGCTAAACTACATGTCGCCGACACGTTGGGCTCATGAGGCTCTCATAAACTGGGAATTTGATAACAACTCTACTCTTTCGCCTCCATTCCTCTGCAGCCGTAACCCAATAGTACAGCAGCCGAACGCCATTCTGGTCAGAGCCGACTGCGGACTACAATCTAAGGCCAATATATTGAAATGGTTTCGATATAAAAGTATGAAAACATTTTAATCATTAATGATGTGTTTGTTATAGACAATTAACATGCTACTATTATTTTGATGAACAGGCGCTCAACAAACTGGTTCCTCATTAAGACCCGTTTGGCACCCATTCGTTGCATTTGCAGCTATTTTCGGCATCTTTATGGTCGTCGGTTGTGCTTTGTTTTGTCTTTTGGCCAAAAGGAAATCATTCAAATATAAGACAAAAACATAAAACTTTAAAATCAATACTTTCGATAAAACAATTAAAGACAGGTTTTGTTAAATAATAAAATAGCGCACATTTATCGTTGCAATGATGTTTAATACAAATGTATGTACAGTAGAAGTGTGAGGCTTTGTGCCATAAACTGACACTTTTTTTTATCATGATCATTATTGTATAATTTATTTCCATTATAAATCATTATATTTTTATCCATTAAATCATTTTATTCATTAATTCAATTTTATTTTAAAACATTAAATCTTTTAAATTATCGTTAAATAACAGATCCATTAATGTTTTCTTTTTGTTAACGAAATATCCTGTATTGAAATTATAATTATCTCATAATAATTGATAAATAATTTATAAAAAGTATTCAACATTTCTTGTTAATTATTTTTAATTGTTAATATTTGGAGACAAATCTAAATTATTGCTAAAATGAATGTTAGGTTTAATATTTAAAATTAAAAATATGTAATCAGATAACATCTATAAATTATTAGATGTAAAAGGCATTATTAAATTGAATAGAAGTTTGGCTATCAATTTCTTATGATAAATTTTCTTTACAATTTGTCGATTGGACTCATATTATAGATATTAATAATCACAAAGAATTTTATATTATAAGTTGCAACACAATTACATAATATTAAGTGGAAATTATAAAAGATATTATAATTTTTATGCCTTAATATTTTGGTTATAGGCATAAAAATATGTGAAATGAGGCAAACAATTGAACAATTGATTCAATAGGTGTAGTGAATTGGTATCAAAGTGTGCCGACAATATATTGACCCAAAACTATAGTTTCAATAAAATATGATATGAATTAATACAAACCTTTAACTATTAAGCAGCAATTGTTTATGGTTTGAGTGCTTATAAATAAATATCAAGTATTATTATTTAATTTGATTTCAAATATACTGATTGAATAGGAATTAATAGTTTATTGTTCCCTATGTTCAACGTGTATAACAAAGACATTGATTTTGCCAAAAATAGGATTCAAAGCAAATTATATTAAAATAACTCAGACGTGGAGTTAGATTACAATTTGGTTTATAAAAATAACCCTAATTTAGTGGTTGACACGCTCTCCGACCCTTCAATCAAATTTCATTACTTCAATAATATGTAGTTTCAGCACATAATTCATAATATATTTTCACAACATATTCATTAAATTCAACACAAAGTAGTGATTCTTACAATAATTTTTTTATTCTCATATAGTTAATATATAATATATAAATATACATTTATAATAGTAGTATTATAAAGTAAACTATAACGTTAGTAGTTAAATATAAATGTTTGCTATAGAAAAGACATGTTAACTACATGGTATAAAGCAAATATTTAATTAATTAATAAAATTATAATTAGTTGTTTGCCAATCACTTAAAAACAAACAATTCCCACAAATTTTTTACATGAATTAATTGAATGTACAATAGTTTGAAACACAAAAAACCAAATGAATAAAACTTTATTATAGGTCTGATGTGAACTAAATCTCCTCCAAAAAAGGTTTCGATTTATTTTTACAGTATTTGTTCAAAAAATTATAGATATATCGTGTGTTTCTTTGTTTTTTCTTTATCTCTTATAATAACATTCAAAAGTAAAACAAAATAATCATTTAATTGTAAATTTTATACGAATAATACTTTAAAATATTTGATAAGAGTTTTGATATTTTTCGTATACATTTACTTTATGTTATATACCAGAAGTTTGCAGTACTGTTAAAGTAGTGAACAAAATATATTTCTAAGATTTTAAATCAATTGTTAGGGAAGTAGGAAGTGATTGGGAGTATAAATATGGGTTATTTTGTGATTACAATTATTGTAAATATAGTAATAGTATTTCTTTATTCCTCAAAACTCTATCCACAAATATTTTAATGCAATCATTAATTGAAATATATTTGCATTTTTAAATTGTATGCATTTTAATAGAACTTTTTGATGTCAATTATAAATATAGCAAATTAATTAAATGCAAATTATATATAAACTTCATTTTTCAGTAAATATAATAATTTTATGTAAATATTTTTTACAAATAGTAAATTATGGTTCATAACAAGGGTAATGAATCATGTGATAAATATTGTAATTTTGTTTAATAAGTTATTATATACTATGTTATATAATAGGGTGATTTGAAATTGTCAGTCATGATGCTTATTTATAGCTCATCAAAAGATTATACAGCTCTTTTATAACGGCAGCGAATAAATAAAATACCATTGTAATTTATTTATTAAAATATTTTTTAAATAAATGTAAATTTTTGTATGAATACACTGATATTCACTGAATAGTTTAAAATGTGGCCAAAGTATTGAATACAGACTTTATAACTATTTTTTAAAGATTTATTTCAATTTCAAACTATGTGTGGATTAATAGCATTAATATCCATCAAAATATAGTGATGTGTTTGTGATATAGATATTGCTTTTAAAATACTGGTTATTTTACGTACACTGATGTTGATTGAAGTTTGTTTAAATGTGCCCTGGTTGCATTTTATTCATTTTGGAATATCAATATTACATTAGCTTTTTAAATAAAAGTATTTATATCGTATTTAAACACAAGATATGCCCATTTATGTTAACAACGGTTATAATAATTGTTTTATTATAAATATGTTTATTATATACAGTGCTGTATGATGTCATTCATCATAATATTATACAGTATATTAATAATACTCGTAATTATATAATCATATTAAGGATTATTATTATTACAATAATTGTAGTCAAATAAATTGGAATTATCAATAAAATTTATTACTTATTATTGTGAATTTATAAAGTTTTATATAATAAAATAATATAATTGCAATATTATAATAAACATTTAACAAAGAATTCAATAATTTTATATTCACTTATATTTATGACTTCAATAAATTAAATGCATTATAATTTGTAAAAGCAATTACCGAAGATATTAATAGTAAAATATTAATAGTATTACTATTTAGCGAATATTTGATACGATAGTTATATTGTCAAACTATACTACAGTATAATATACTGTGATATTATGATACTAGATAGAAATTCTAACATGTAACATATTTAAAATACACATTTAAAATAAACTATAAATATTAACGTTTGTATTTGAAAATATAAAATTGTAGTTATTATAGCCTTAACTATTAAATTATATATCAGATATTTGATGAAAATTTAAAAAGCTTCCAGTTTAATAATAAACTATAAAATAAACTATACAGTTTAAACTATACTATCACATTCAGTATGTTTAAATAATTAAATAAAACAAAAAAAATTGCCTAGTAGATAGTTAAAATTAGCCAATTAAGTTTAACAAATTTTGGTTAAAATTTTAAGTTTGGTGCTTATAATATTGCAAACTATTGTAGATGTCTAAACATACTGTACTGTGTTTATGTTTTAACTAGATCAAATATGTTAATTACTATTGGAAAATTACTTTATTAACTATAACATCCTGCCTAAATTGCATATACTGTAAGCCAATGTTAAAACATACACATTAAGTATTCTGTTTCCAACACTCAAACTTATATTTTATATTATTCATAATCAATAAAGTTCAATATGTAAAACACAAAGTTATTTGTTATTTAATTTGAGTGACTCTACAATATCTATACGGTAATTATATTGATACCTTGGTCATATATTATGCGTCAAAATGCGCCATCAGAGTGAGGGCCTTATCCCCCAAATGGGTTGAATTTGAAGCACATCACAATTGTAGCCATTATTGTGAAGTTAGATATTTTGCTAATCACATCAAATATATAATTTATTGACCAATTTATTTAACAAATATTTCGTCCCAAACATATATTCCCGTAATATATTCGACGGGGAGGGAAGTGCCATACATTAAATGCCATACATTTCAATCAATTCAAAAGTCATAATAAAAGTCAATTTTCAATTAACATTGTGTTTATTAAAATTTAAAAGTGTATACGGTAATAAAGAGAACACAAAATGTAGTCTAATCTCATCTTCAACTAAAAACTTGGGCAAAAAGTTTGTCCATATGTTTATAGTAAAGATGAGATAATTAGTACATAATGTATAGATCGCATGAAATTGGGGTAATTAAAAATATTTTAATTGTTGTAATTTTAAAAAAGCGAGACTAGTGTTGCAAAGGAAGCAACAATTAAACCCGAGTTTTCACATTAGGATTCAAACAAATAAACATTCATTTAGTATCTAAATTATTAATTGTCCAAAATGCCGAAAATGTGTATTAAATACATACAAATAAAATAATATAAATTACAGGAAAGCAGATATAATAAAATTTATTATTATTAATAATATATGATGTGATGAATTAATGGGAATCCATGAATTGAATGTCAGATAACAATAAAATGCTATTCTGTGGAAGTGGTCGCTGTTGTGGCGCCAAAAGGGTAACCATTTGTCGCTCGACATCAACATTAGTAACGCAAACGAATCCATAGAGACTGGACTCAAGAACTTTGAGGTTGTCTTCGAGTGATGTGGCCGTAGAAACGGCCAGAATATGGTTGAGTAGTG